CTGACTAGAAGAGTCTCAGTCGACATGTGGCGACAAACAAGAATCCCGCAAAACAAGACATGTGCCGACATCAGCACTATGAACCTCCACAGACTCCAAAGGATCCGTATCAAACAAATGTGGTCCATCATAAGCGAAATGGTCATTGTGTTCCCCGCCACCTTCAACGAATAACTGCCGACCACCAACTGACCGAGTACATGAGGACTGGCGATGGCCCACCTCCCCACAAGAAAAGCAACGGAGACCTCCATCTGGACGAGGACCCACCTGCGCACTCGCCGCGCCTGAAGAACTCCCCGGAGCCGAAGTGGCCGGGCGGCTGCCCCCCGAACCCAATGCTGCCACTGGACCAGAGACGGTCTTCCCCGGGCCGATTGTTGGATTGGCGAATCGGTTCGCCGGTGAAAAAGCCGAAGAGGCCCGTCTTGCCAATTGTTGTTCGGCCATGATAGCGCGTTGATGAGCATCAGACAAGGTAACCGGCATGAACATATTAACGGTATCCTGAATCGGAATACGAAGCCCATTAATATACCGCGAAATTAATTGAGCATTGGTCTCGCGGCTATCAATACGAGTAAGTAATCTGTGAAACTCTTCAGTGTAATCATCAACCAGACGGTTACCTTGACGAAGTGTTTGGAATTTTTTATATATGATACTAACATAATTAAACGACAATAATTCCTCCTCCATGAAACTACGAAATTTACCCCCAAGAAGTAATAGGAGATTTACCCAATCGATGCCGCCGTTGTTGGAGTTGAGTGAACCAACCCGCAGCTCGGCCACGCAATCGTGTCGCTGCCAGCCCGACTCGGCGATCGTCTGGCACTTCCTTAAAATTAAAAGCAGTCTCCATCGCAGCAATCTAGTCAAGAAAGTCGTCGGCGTCCAGTCCACCCGAGAACTCCGGCAAGTCGACGCGAAACCCGGCCTCCCATCGCGAGTTGCTACCCTCCGCCCCGCGTCGCTGGTCGCGGAAATCGTCCCAGCCGTCGTCCTCCTAGTTCACGCCGTCCCAGCGGTCGTCACCGCCGTCTCGTCTGTCATGTCGGAAACCGAAGGGGTTGGTTTCCGACTGTGTGTCGTCGCTGCTGTCCTGACCGGGTGGCGAAGGTGGTGAGCGATGACGGCGCGCGCCGCCAAATCCCCTGCCTCCACGTCCGTCGCGACCCCACCGGCCTGTCGGGTCACGGTCCGCACCTTCCCGAGCCAGCAACATCCGCATCGCCGACTGGATTTCCTCGACACCTTCCGAAAGCCCTTCGACCTTGCGATCAACTCGTTCGATTTGAAAGCCGAGATCATCGGTTCTTCGATCTAAGTCCTCCAAATGAGCATCACGTCGGTCATTGTCATTTCGTTTTTGCGGCATCTTGAATCGGTCTGACTCTAGATACCAACTGACGTAGAAGAAAACGTACGATGGGAAAAATAAGAACTCACAAAGAGAACTCGAGAGATAATTTATTTCAATCAACGTCTGCTTTACAATGAGAACTCTTCTCATTTAAATAGACTCCCCAAACCCTAACCTTATTTTATTTAATAGATATTCTAAACATTGGAAATAAATAAAAATAAATAAAAGGCTATAAATAATAAATAACTAGATACGAAGGCGATCAAACTTGTCCAGATACGCCAATGTGATCTCGTCGCCATCAGGTTAGATGCAAGAGTTTGTTTGTTCCATTGCCATATTGATTCACAGCTGACTTGGGGATGGTTAAGAATGTGAAAGGGGAATCTGAGTCCATCGAGCCGCCGACCGATCAGCAGCCATGTTAAGGCTTTTTATCATCACGATTTATGTCCAATCATTTTTATTTTTAATCTCACTCATAAGAATGATGTCATGCTACTTTTGGAATCTTCATACATATTTAAAACTGATCTTGAATGTATTCATAACTAATAGATTAAACACTCCACCTTCCTAAACCATTGGTGAAATAAGTGTTTTTCAAATTCAAAATCCCTCAAAATCGGCATGATTGGATTTCTCATGTTTTTCTCCCTATTTATCAACCTTCTGAATATTACCTGCAGGAAAGGTTTTTTAAGTTGATGGGGCTTATCATATCTAGAAGCTTGAAAATGGCGGGCGAGACGAAGATCCGTGAAAGGAGATTGCAGGGCATGTCGAATATTTTTGTTGATTTTTTATTTATTTATTTATTATCGTTAAATGTAAATATATATATCAACAATGTTTCAAACCACCGTTAAACGGCATACAAAAGCGTAATGGGCAACCACTAAGTCGGTTCCTCATTCGCCAGATAAAGATATACGAGGCCAGCCACAAGTCGGTTGGTCATTCTCAAGTACTAAGAATTATATAACAATTCGTCAGGTACACGTAGGAGAAAACGGTTCTGAAATCCGAGTTCATTTTTTATTTTCTTTGTTTGATGGAAGATGGATGGAGTTTCTTTGACAACGTTCATCTGTTGTTGTGTAATTTAGAGACCAATATGCTGCTGGTATTATTATTTTGATGGTTAGTTTCATTGAAATTAGATTTGTTCTTTCTCCTTTTTGATTAGCCTACGTTTGCTATTTCATACTAGACTAGATTCGGTTTTTGTATACGTTTGATATGTTGCAAGCATTGAAAGTTGGTGGGTTGCAGTCTCTTGTGCTTTTCAGAAATTTTGTCGATTAAATGTTTGGATGTAGCAATAGATACTAAGGAGGGTTGAGCATGGGACTAGGAGAAATTCGAACCGCTCCGAAAATCGAACCAAAATTACTCTGAACTGAACTGAAGAACCGAAATTAGGAACCGAATTATAACATTAGATGTGTGTTATTAATATATTTTATGTCAACTTTGATCCTAATATGATTTGAGAATTTTTTAAAAGCAAATAAAATATAATAATAACAATTAAGATGCATTTAAATTTTATGTTTCGTAATACTTGATTTACAATTGAATTTATCATGTTAAAAAAAATTATTTAAAATGGTATGTAAAGTTAAAGAATATATTTTTTAAGAAAAACTATATTACATTATTATTTTTTTTTTGAATTTAAATTTTCAATATTAGTTGCACAAATTTAGTGTTAACTAAAATTTAGAGTTACTTCTAAAGTTGATTTCAAAATAAAATCTTTAATATGTGGAAGTATTGAGGAATGTAGGTTTTCTAAAAGCATACAAAAAATAACAAACTAACTAGAGTTACTCCTAAAGTTGATTAAAAAAATTTCAATATGATGAATTATTGATGAATGTTGTTGTTTTTAAGCATATAATATAACTAGGTAGTCATTAAAAAAAATTTACAAAATAAGAAATCTCTGAAGATTCGAATCGAACCATACCGAACAGTTCCGATAGTCCCGAATACCGAACCGAAAAATAAAAATATCCAAATCGAACCGTTCCGATAGTCCCGAATACCGAATCGAACTGAAAAATAAAAATCTCCAACCTGAACTGTCCCGATTTTTTGTTATAGTTTCGAAGATCGGATTTAATGAGATCCGAATTTTTGTACAATTCGGAGATTTCTCAATCTCCCTACTAAGGTCCTAAAGTGGACTCATGAGGACCTCGCTGACGATTAAACTTATAGTTACGACACCATGATCTAAGAGAAATACTCCATCTCTGAAATGTTAACTTGGCCACGTAAATCTACATTGCTAAAGCAATAACCGTCTTGATAATCCCAAATATTGAACCGAATCGTATCGAAAAATAAAAAATATTGGAATCGAATTGAACCGAACAGAACCGATTTATTGAGCTGTGAATTATTTCTTTGTTTTATTGACGTCAATAAATCAGTTCTGTTCGATTCAGTTCGATTCCAAGGTTTTCATTTTTCGGTATGATTCGGTTCAATATTTAGGATTATCAAGACGGTTATTGCTTTAGCAATGTAGATTTACTTGGCCAAGTTAACATTTCAGAGATGGAGTATTTCACTTAGATCATGTTGTCGTAACTATAAGTTTAATCGGCTGCAAGTTCCTCATGAGTCCACCTTAGGACCTTAGTAGGGAGATTGAGAAATCTCCGAAATTGTACAAAAATTCAAATATCATTAAATTCAATCTTCGAAATTATAACGAAAAATCGGATTGGGTTGGAGATTTTTAATTTTCAGTTTGATTCGGTATTCGGGACTATCGGAATGGTTCGATTTGGAGATTTTTATTTTTCGGTTCGGTATTCGGGACTATCGGAACTGTTCGGTATGGTTCGATTCGATTCTTCAGAGATTTCTTATTTTGTAAATTTTTTTTAAATGACTACCTAGTTATATTATATGCTTAAAAACAACAACATTCATCAATACTTCATCATATTATTTTTTTTTTAAAATTAACTTTAGGAGTAACTCTAGTTAGTTATTTCTTTTATGTATGCTTTTAGAAAAACAGCATTCCTCAATATTTCCACATATTAAAGATTTTACTTTGAGATCAACTTTAGAAGTAACTCTAAATTTTAGTTACACTAAATTTGTGCAACTAATATTAAAAATTTAAATTAAAAAAAATATAATATAATTTTTCTTAAAAATATATTCTTTAACTTTACGTACCATTTTAAATAATTTTTTATAACATGAAAAATTGAATTGAAAATCAAGTATTACGAAGCATAAAATTTAAGTGCAGCTTAATTGTTATTACTATATTTTATTTGCTTTTAAAAAATTCTCAAATCATATTAAGATCAAAGTTGACATAAAATATATTAATAACACACATCTAATGTTATAATTCGATTCCTAATTTCGGTTTTTCAATTCAGTACGGTATGGGACGATTCGGTTCAATTCTCGATAAGGATATTTGTAAAATATCCAAAACTGTACCAATTATTTTTTCGGTTCGATCGGAGAAAGTCAAACCGTCAACAGTTATTTTTCGGTTCAGAGTAATTTTGGTTCGATTTTCGGAACGGTTCGAATTTCTCCTAATCCCATGCTCAGCCCTCCTTACTATCTATTCCTTAGTAGTTATTCCTACATCCAAACATTTAATCGACAAAATTTCTGAAAAGCACAAGAGACTGCAACCCACCAACTTTGAATGCTTGCAATATCAAAAGTATACAAAAACCAAATCTAGTCTAGTATGAAATAGCAAACGTAGGCTAATAAAAAAGGAGAAAGAACAAATCTAATTTCAATGAAACTAACCATCAAAATAATAATACCAGCAGCACATAGGTCGCTAAATTGCACGACCACAGATGAACGTTGTCAAAGAAACTCCATCCATCTTCCATCAAACAAAGAAAATAAAAAATCAACGAAAATATTCGACATGCCCCGCAATCTCCTTACACAGCATCTTCGTCTCGCCCGCCATTTTCAAGCTTTTGGATATGATGAGCCCCGTCAACTTGTGCGTCGAGCTCGGCTTGAACAACGACTTCACCTCTTCCTCCCCTCTCCCCGCCAAAACAGCCGTCCTCGCTGGCAAAACATTCTCCCACCAAAACTCGCGCAAAACCCCGCGCATCAACTCCCAATACCCGCGTTCTCTACACACTCGGAATATCGTGCTCCCGTTCGGAGTCCAACAATACAAATCCGCCCAATCCCTATCCATAACCTCCATCTGCCCTTGCACCTGAGGCATGTAGTAAAACGGCACGTTCGACCACGGAACCATCATCTCCGGCCTACCTTTATTGTACGGGCACTTCACTTCCAAAACCCCACCTCCCGGGAAGCACCCGAGAAGCCCGTCTGGCGAGGCTCCGATCCAGCCCAGCCCCTCGTCCGCGTGGACCGCAAAGCCCAACAAGCCCACATCTCGGCCCGTTATGCTCTTGTACCGCTCGATTGCCACTGCCTCGTTTAAAACACCCCATTCCATTGCGCCCCGCTTTGTGGGGCCCACATCCGAGTCCGAGTCCGAGTCGGAAGGAGGGAAGACTTTCTCGTGCCAGAGCTCGTAACGGCGGTTTCCTTTCCAGAGGCCGAGGGCTGTGCTGAAGGTGCTCGTAGTTAGCTTGTCCTTGCGGAGGGCGAACCACTCGTCTGACCGTTGTGGGGCGTCAGACAAGGTTAGGCAGGAGTTGAGGACGAAGGATGGGCTGAGGTGGACGAGTGGGATGGAGGAGGAGGAGAAGCGGAAGAGTGGGGCCGCCGCGCAAGTTGAGAAATATCGAACGGCCACGACGTGAAAGTTTTTCGTCACGGGGAGTGGCGTTGTGAGTCTGGCGAAACATGCGTTGTTCATGTTTTGGCTACCGGCTGCAAATTTTTTTCAAAAAAGATCAAAACTCGTTCAAACTATTTGACGTGAAGCATTGTGTTAAAAAAAAAGGGTTCTAATTTTAGATTGGCAAATTTGCCACTAATATCACTCGAAGTTGCAATTTAATGACTTTTTCACTGTTGTAAATTATATCACAATCTTTAATTTGTTGCAAACACTCTGAAAACAGTCATAGAAAACATATATCAAATTACTCTTGTTTGCTACACAAGCCACTAGGAGATATTTGAATTTAATGTCTGGAGTTATTGTCAGTTTAAGTAATCCTCTTTATATTATAATCTCATTGTTTATTCTGACATGTGATTCATATATGGTTTGTCCATTGCAAATGGAGCTGGAATAGTCATTGTTGACAATTATCCTGGCATAGTGCTAATAATGGACTAGATCAAAATGGCTCAATTAAATTCTAGTGCTTCTTCAATTTAGTGAAGTTTCTAGAAAAAAAAATATATATATCAAATGGCGCAATGCACCTTGAGTCGCTACGGAAACAGCCTCCTTGTATAATTACAAGGGTAAGGTCTGCGTACAACTGACCTCCCAAACCCCAACCTGTTGGGAATATACTGGGTATGTTGTTGTTGTTGTTGTTGTTGATTGATTGTTAATTGGAGTACTTACTGTGTTGTTTGAATTCTTATAACCTGTTGCTGAGTAACATTACTTTAAAGCTCGTGTTCCTTCTAACTAAATCTACAAACCTACCATCGTGTATATTACACTATAACTATAGTTAAAATGAATAATTATAAAGATTATGTCATGATTTCTTTCATTTGCATAGTGTTATGCAACCAATTGATGGCTTTTTGGTGCTTACACAGCTTGTGTTAGCTTGTGTTGACATACAAGTCGAATTGAATCCACAGTTTTTTATTCAGCAGAAGAAGTTATCTTATAGTGGTAACTGTGGTCACAAAATTGGGTGAAAAGAAACTAAAAGTAAGTCTTAACTATTTTATGATTTGGTACTATGTAACTCATGCAATACACGGAAGCAATGTGAAAATTGATTTGATATGATAAATGTTGGATCACACAGACACGATTTACAATAAATTGATTAAAAATTCTCACCTAAGTATTTTTTGATGACAACTAAAAAATGAAGTCTTGTAATTAGTGTTTGATGATTTAGTTACCTTGAATTGATTAGTAGTCCATATTGCTACTTCTAGATTGGTGATTGATTTTTAGTTTCGTATACGTATTTGCTCGACACATGTCTTATCACTAAGCGCAATCAAGTAATTCATATGTTGGATTTGATCCGGAAGGTATTGTAGCATCCGATAATGACCTTCGACCCCTCGCCAATCGTTGTTGACGGCGTTTATTCATTATGTTTAACTTATGATAATAAACGAAAAAAAAATATATATATCCTCATGATAGTCACAATTTCAGCTACTACCACAATGACATTGGTGCTATCTGACTCCATCTGTCTACATATAATTGAAAATATATAGCTAAGAAACGAAGCAGCACAAATGTAACGCAAATAAGTAAAGACCGAAGCAAATTGTGCACAAAGGTGAAATTTTCTAATTATGGCTCCTTATTTGCAAAATAAAAAACATAAATGAGTAAGGTACCTAACAGAAAATGTTAAAGTAGCAATCTCTTCATTAATATTTTATCGAATCGTTATATAACATGTTCAATTAAAGAGTGTGAAATTCAAACAGGCATACTCTTTGGACAAAATAAATAAATAAATAGATAAACAAAGTGTGGATGCTAAACAAACCAATTTTTTCCTAGAGAAACAACACAACTTCGAGCATTTGAAGAGAAAATCAAGAAAATGTAGTTATAAATGATAATTGATGCCAAAAAACCACCCATTTGCTCCTTTTGTTTCAGTCTCAAGAACTTCATAAACATGTGTCTATTAACCAATCCCAAAGTTATATTTGATATTTTCTTTAATAGCATAAGCCCATGTTGTATTCTTACCCCCACAGCAAATCAAAGACAAAGAGAGTGTTGGAGATCCTTAACTCCAACACAAGACTTGAGAGATGTGAGGAATAGACAATGAAAATGAAGAAAAAGAAAAATTATCTCAATCATAGCTCAAATTCCTAATAAATATAAAATATATAATTCATAGACTAAAATGTCTTTGAAGTTAATCATAGCTCAAATTCCTGTTTTAAATAATACAAGAACATTATAAACCTTAAAACAAGTACTAAACCATTATCAAACAATAGCAATATACACCATAGAAAATGGAGATACAAACCAAACTCAAATAATTTTTCCAAGTTTTCAACTATTTTAGAGTTAACAAGCACCTCCATTCAGCAGTTGCAAGCAATCATATATTACATAAAATTTCCAAACAAATTTAGTTCTTTCCAATTTACCTGCACACGAGCAACTCGTCTTGCCTATTTCCAGCGGGTTCGGGGTTACCTAGCAGCTTCTACTCTTCCACAAGCTGAAACAAACAAGAAAAGGAAATTACCAAGAATTACATCAAACACTTGAAACTTGCAAGGATTCGAAACTAGGTGACGACCACACACTCAAAGGCTCAACAACTCAAAAAATCAGGGACATAAATTCAGAGCGAGAGTCGGCTCATGAGTGAAACAGAGCGCGGGGCGGGGTGTAGAAACAGAATTGAGTGAGAAAATAGATATAAACCAATTCCATTAGCTAGGGTTTTACTGTACTCCTATTTTATCTTCCTCTTTTCCAATGCTTTTATTTTTCAAAAATAAAAGTCGTATGTTCTAACCTTCGAGATGATGGCGGCGACGCGATGCTTGAGACTCACCGACCAGCGGCCAGCGGTGGTTCAAGGTTTAGTCGTCGTTGTTCTCTGCTTCTATCTGTGTTTGTACTTTGTACTGATGAAATGGGGATGGAGGCTAAAAAATAAATATGTTAGGGTACAATGGTAAAATCCACTTTTCAGATAAATGGCCAGATAATTAATCGCACACCTCCCCATCAGATTATTTTTCTTGTGAAACACAGATAAATTCATGGGCTGCCATTTTATCGTGGGCTTTTATCTTTATCGCAAATATCTGTAATAAGAGAACTGATAACTTTTCTTATGAGAAAATTGTAAATTTGGTCCTAAAATTTTTGTTGTTTCCCATATTTGGTCCCAGACACACCAATTATGGTCCTTTTTGAATTTTTGTTGTCAAAATGGTCCCACATCCGTCAAGATGGACGGATCTTATGTGGACCTCCTCCACCTCCTCCAGATCGGTTAGCAGCTGGCGCACGATAGCGCCATATGTGAGAGTAAACAGCTCCGAGTTCTGAGAACGTATATAGCCACATAAAACATGATTAAAGCCAAAACACACGATTGATAACATCAATCGATTAAATAGAATGATAAACATTTCGGATCAAAGGGTAAGTAAACATAATATAATTTCTCTTTCTCGATTGCATAATAACTTACCACACGATCAACACTGGCAAAAATCGCATCGCCGGATTTTGGAGCGGCTGGAGCCATGAGATTGTAGATGGATTTAGATCCCTAATACGAAAGTGTCGCAAATTGAGTAAACTATATGAGTTTGGACTACGTCTCAATTAAATAATGATTGTCATATAACCTTCATAAATAATTGGTGCATATAAAACTTCTATATATAATTAATTAAATAAATTAAAAAATAAAAATACAAATATTCTGGTTAATATTTTGATATACATATATATATATATATATTTTGCATCTCATTTATCATGAACTAATTAATAAAATTATTTTATTCACCTTTTGTTAAGTTACCCAATTAAATAATCATTTTATGTACAAAAATCAAGTTAAACTTTAATTTACAATAAAAAAATGTGAAAGAATTGTATGTTAGTTATATTTATCTTTTATAATATATTAAAAAATAAACTAAGTGTATTGTTAGGAAAGAATGGTAATATACCTTTTTAACATTCAAAAATATGTTTCTAATAAAAGTAAATTTAAATAAATATTATTACTAACTTTTTGAGAAAATTATAAATTTGGTCCCAAAACTTTTGTTGTTTTCCACATTTGGTCACAGGCCATAAACGTTGACTGTTAAGTCTTGACAAAGTGGGACCATTTTGGCAACGGAAATTTAAAAAGAACCATAATTAGTATGCCTAGGACCAAATGTGAGAAATAACAAAAATTCCGGGACCAAATTTGTAATTTTCTCCTTTTCTTATCTAGCGGGCGCGTTTGCGGAGCCATTTTATGCTAGATAAAAAAAGTTATCAGTTCTCTTATTATAGATATTTGCGATAAAGATAAAAGTTATCAGTTCTCTTATTATAAGAATACAACATGGGCTTATGCTATTAAAGAAAATATCAAATATAACTTTGGGATTGGTTAATAGACACATGTTTATGTAGTTCTTGAGACAAACAAAAAGTGCAAATGGGTGGTTTTTTTGGCATCAATTATCATTTATCACTACATTTTCTTGATTTTATCTTCAAATGCTCGAAGTTGTGTTGTTTCTCTAGGAAAAAATTGGTTTGTTTAACATCCACACATTTGTTTATCTATTTATTTCTTTATTTTGTCCAAAGAGTGTGCCTGTTTGAATTTCACACACTTTAATTGAACATGTTATATAACGATTCGATAAAATATTAATGAAGAGATTGCTACTTTAACATTTTCTGTTAGGTACCTTACTCATCTATGTTTTTTATTTTCCAAATAAGGAGCCATAATTAGAAAATTTCACCTTTGTGCATAATTTGCTTCGGTCATTACTTATTTGCGTTTCATTTGTGCTGTTTCGTTTTTCTTAGCTATATATTTTCAATTATATGTAAACAGATGGAGTCAGATAGCACCAATGCCATTGTGGTAGTAGCTGAAATTGTGACTATCATGAGGATATTTCTTTTTTTCGTTTATTACTATAAGTTAAACATAATGAATAAACGCCGTCAACAACGATTGGCGAGGGGTCGAAGGTCATTATCGGATGCTACAATACCTTTCGAATCAAATCCAACATATGAATTACTTGATTGCGCTTAGTGATAAGACATGTGTCGAGCAAATACGTATACGAAACTAAAAATCAATCACAAATCTAGAATTAGCAATATGGACTACTAATCAATTCAAGGTAATTAAATCATCCAACACAAATTATAAGGCTTCAATTTTTAGTGTCATCAAAAAATACTTAGGTGAGAATTTTTAATCAATTTATTGTAAATCGTGTCTGTGTGATCCAACATTTATCATATCAAATCAATTTTTACATTGATTCCGTGTGTTGCATGAGTTACAATTACATAGTAGCAAATCATAAAATAGTTAAGACTTGATTTTAATTTATTTCAATTCACCCAATTTTGTGACCACAGTACATCCAATTACGACTATAAGATAACTTCTGCTGAATCAAAAACTGTGGATTCAATTCGACTTGTATGCCAACACAAGCAATGTAAGCACCAAAAAGCCATCAGTTGGTTGCATAACACTATACAAATAAAATAAATCATGACATAATCTTTATAATCCTTCATTTTAACTATAGTTATAGTGAAATTCTAAAATACACGATGGTAGGTTTGTAGATTTAGTTACTTCCCAAAATGAAGGAACACTAGCTTTAAAGTAATGTTACTCAGCAACAGGTTATAAGAATTCAAACAACACTGTAAGTACTCCAATTAACAATCAATCAATCAATCAAGCT